CAGCCTTGGTGGGACTCCAACCTACGCCAATAAGAGAAAGGTTTTAGTACAGCCAACGCTCTAGCCAACTGACCCAAATATGAGTAAACTCACGTCTCCCTGTGCGGGCCTCGTAGCTCAGTTGCCTAGGCCGCTGACTTCCTCTCGCTGGTGTGGGTTCGAAACCCACTAAGGCCTCCGAGTTTTTAACAGATGAGGCAAATGAGTTCCGTTAGTGGTCGGGGTGAACGTTTATCAACCAATGGGCCAACTGAATTGTTCGTATCTGCCAAAAATCTGCACCCAGCTGAATCAATGAGTTATTTAGGAAGTTCCACTTCCGGTATCTTTCACGTCTCCGCCACAAAAAACAGCCTTTACGCCTTAGGCTGCCTTCGAGCTATGTAGCTTAGTGCAGTTGCTATATGTCATACGTGTGTGCGTTTGTGTGCGATTTAGTCAGCGGAATGCGTACCTCTTGGTTCACGGCGTGTCGGTGAAATTTACGCCAGCTCTTCTCTGCTATCCTTCTCACGCTTTGCAGCTCTTCACTTCACACACTTTTTCTGTCCCCGCAGCTGTCGGTGTCGTAGGCTCGTTGTCCTCGGCCATCAAGTTTGTGTCGCGCGCATTGGAGCAGTCTTTGATTGGGACATTGTACGGACAAGTAAAAGGGCATTAGAAGGATAATTTATGACTTATCTGCCATCGCGGTTGGACAATAGACCCTGCTTCGACTCCAGACTGGAGGCTAAAGGAGCTTTAACTGCGGATTCAGTTGGTTATGCAATTTTTTCAGTCGACTTACGGGTTCGCAGCCTGTCCAGCTACAATAGAGAGTGCTGCAAGTCACGTGCTTATCACCTTTCTTGATCTGCAGTTAATTGTAACTGGCTGCTGACGGCAAGTAAATCAGAAGAGGGTTGCCCTCTGGGAGGATTTTTGCACCAATTATATTCTTTTGCAGTGTTGGGCAAGTGTGATTAAATTCACGGCGCACGGTGAGACTGGTAGCTCAACTGGTAG